AACATGGCGACTAGCTAATAATGTGGATAAAACTTGTCCTCCAACATCTTGAGTCTCTACAGCTTCCCTTTTTTGAGATTGATTTATAGATGAACTTAGAGGATAAGTTGTGGACAATTTTCAAATCTTTGGGGGTTTTCTTATTTAGTTAGCTCTGAGATTCTTTTCTTCACATATACATATTTTCCTATAACACCAGATTATGTAGAGGCCATATATTAGTTTTTTTTAAAATTGTTTTTAGATCTAGATCTTGTGACTTTTTTTTTCTGAGACAGGGTTTCTCTGTGTAGCCCTGGCTGTCCTGGAACTCACTCTGTAGACCAGGCTGGCCTCGAACTCAGAAATCCACCTGCCTCCGCCTCCCAAGTGCTGGGATTAAAGGTGTGCACCACCACTGCCTGGCATTCTTGTGACATTTTTTGACCATCCCACTTCTCTGTTTCTATGTATCACTGAGTATGTGCATATAGGTGTAAGAGAAAAAATATTTGCATTCTTATATTGGCCTTTTTAAAATTTAAAATGTTTTTTTTTTCATACACTCTATTCTGATTGTGGTTTTCCCTGCCCCAATTCCTTCTACATACTTCCCAACTCATCACCCAACCAAATCTACCTCCTTTCACATTCTTATTAGGAAAGGAAGCAAACAAGCATCTGAGGTAATAAAATAAAATGCAATAAAATAAAACAAAATAAAATCAAGATAGGAAAAAAAAGAAACCAAAACAAACAAAACCATAAAGAAAAAACACAAAAAGAACAAAAAAAAACACAAAAAGACACAAAGACACACATATTCTTATATACAATAACTCATAAAAACAAATTGGAAACCATACTATATAAGCAAAAGACCTGTAAAGTTAAAAAAAATTCACAAAGCATTATACAACAAAAATCTTCCTAAAATGTCATTAATTTCATTTCTTGTTTGGCCATCTACTTCTTGACATGATCTGCCTGCCCTTAAATGTAGTTTATACTGATTTCAGCGAGATTCTGTTGGATAAAAGTAATTTTCTCTTTGTGAGTAATCATCAATTGAGATAGCTTTGGGTTAGGGATGGGAGCTTGTATCCAGTTCCCCTCTAAGTAATGGCACTTCCATTTGGCTTAGATTTCTTCAGGCCTTTTGCGTGTCTTTATAAGTTAATATAATATAATATTATATATATATAATATTATATATAAAATTATATATAATATAGTATATATATTAATAATAATAATAGAAATCTTTATAAGTTAATGTAACATCTGTCCATTTTTGTCTAGAAGCCCTTGTTTCCATGGTGTCTTCCATCCCCACTGGCTCTTACCATCTTTCCTTTTCCTCTTCCACAGAGTTCCCTGAGTCCTGAGTAGATAATTGTCGGTGACGTCTCATTTAGGATTTAGTGTTTTAGAGTCCCTAACTCTCTTTATATTGTCCAATGATGTGACTATGTATTTGTTCCCATATACTACAAAGGAAAGCTTCTGATGGTGGCTGAGCAAGACATTAATCTATGAATATAGCAGAATGTCATTGGGAGTCATTTTATTGTTATGTTTCTTTAGCAGAACAGTATTATTTGGTTTCCGTTAGGTTCGTGGTGAATCTAGCCACAGGTACTTAGGCACCTGAGAGGTGTCAGCCATGAGTTCAATTTCATAGAGTGGCCTTAATTTCAAACAGATAGTGAATGATCACTCCCACAACTTTTATGCCACTATAATAGGCAGGGTACCATTGAGATAGAAGGATTTTTAGCTGGGTTGGTGTTTAATTTATCCTTTGATAGAGTTCTGAGGACCTTCTAGGACCATAAATACTAGCCTGTAGAAATGAAGGTTCAATGTAGGCGTCGTGTCAAGTTCTTCATGCTAAATGAGTTGATAAGGTATTATCTACACCAATCAAGCCTTACCATCAGATTGTGGAGAGCAACCAATAACCCTGGCATTAATCTGGGCTGTTTGGGGACTTTCATGTGAACTCTTTGCCCCATAACTCAATTAGATGTATCTCATTCCAGATTTGGAGGCTTCATTTAGTGGCAAGAAATGTCTAGTTGGGACCTTGTCTCCTTCGATACTTGGTGACATTTTTAAAAGCTACTCATGTTTTGTTTTGTTTTGTTTTGTTTTGTTTCCTTTGCTTTGACATAGAGTCTCGCTATTTAACTCACAGAGTCTTAAACTCCCCATATTCCTACCTCAGCTCTGCTATGACTAAGCATGTTCATTACTATGCCTCCCTCTATGTTGTGTATCTTGAGTAATTTAAAGATGGTTAAGGAAATCCCATTAAGTGGATCACCCATTTGAGGTGTCCGTGCATGACACTCTAGCAGTTTTCAAGACTCATTATTTCTCCATCTGTATCTGGTCAGTTTACATAGGTTTAAAATTACATCCTTTATCAATTTTGTCCTTTTTCATAATTGTGTTTTGAAGAATGTATTCACTGACCTGCTTTAGTATTATAACCAGAAGTTCCAGTATGATTGATAAATAAAATTGAACAAATATCTTGAGTATCTGTGTGAAATGTGTTTATCATTTTGACACTGATACTAAAGGACAGAATTCTTCTGATTGAGTTGCTCTGTCTGATATGTAAATACACTCTCAAGGCTGTGACTCCGGGCAACTGAGAGGACTATAAACGTGTCTTGCATAATGGGTCTCTCCAAGGTCTCCATCTCCTTGCGACAGAGTGAACACATCCTCTTGATTCTGAAACATCAATTTGTACATAGGCAAACCAAATTTTTACTAAACACCACAATCAAATTCATTCATTATAGATCATAGTTAGATATAAAATACCAAATGTAGAAGGAGACAAATATTGAGCATGACCTACAAAGTGAGGCTGTAAATGTGGAAGGTGTGGAAAGAAGCTCAATATTACTCATGTTCCCCTTACATCCATTGCTTAATAGCCATGAATAACCCTTGGAGAACTCCAGAGTACCAACAAACTCAATTTTATACATTTCTTATAAACCCTGACTTTATCATTTTATAAGGGAGAAAAATTGAGATTCAGGCAACTGACCATCTAAAGTAAGGTATCCCATAGATGACTGTCAATGTGCAGATAGGCTAATATTTTAATAGTATTGTTATAAAACACTCCTTAACTTGTTCTCAGGGCAGAAATTATTGTCTGTCTCTCTCCCTTGTCATGCCTTTTGCCTTACTTGACACAGAAGTGAGCTTGAAATGTTTGGTGCATTAATAAACTAATACAATATACCATAAATAAGATCATCATGCAGTAAAAGTGAAATACAGAAGATAAGAGACCCCTGTGCCATTGGTCATTCAGATGGCTAATCTCAATTGTCAGCTTGATGAGCTAAGGAATGAGCTGGCATATGAGCTTTTATAGCTTTCCTCCATTTTTGCAGGGAATTCTCTTGACCGGACTGGTTGATGTGAACAGACTGACTGTGAGCAGTACCATCCCTTTGGCTGAGACCCTGAACTGTATAAAATAAACTGACCTAAGTATGTATCTTTCTCTCTCTGCCTCCTGACTATGGCTGTGATGTTGCCAGAATTTTAACTTCTGTTCCTTTGACTTTCGTGTTATGACAAATTGTCCCTCAAAGGATGAGCTATACAAACCATGTCCCCAATTTTGCTTTGGTTGGGATCTCTTAACTTAGTTAAAGAGAAGGAACTAAGGCAACCATGATGCCCAGGCTCTGCTCGGCCTCACATTAGCTTTGTACAGAGAGCTCTTAGGTCCTGTTTCTTCTCAGTTTTCCATGTAGAGAACTGTCCATGAATATTGTTATCTTTTCTAAAGAAAAGACACAATAAAAGCCAAATCAATTCGATGTAAGTTTGAATGATATATTTTATATGCACCTGCATTATACATAATAAGGTCATTCGTTAAGGTTTGGCATGAGCTTCCCACGTGTATGTTATCTAAGTAATATAATGCGGCTAAGCTTCTGGTGGCTTAACTCTTAAATGATTTGTTTGTTTGTTTTTATATGTTTGTTTTGTTTTGATTTGTTTTAGAATGGGTCTTGCTATATAGAGCAAGATGATCTACAATTAAGCATCCTTCAACTTCAACCTCCTAGTACTAAAATTAAGTCCATTGCCTGCTACTCCTATTTAGTTTGATGGGCTTTTATTTCTCCATTAATTCCATCATTAGCTTTAGAAATTAACCTACTTTGTAGAGAATAAATTATCATACTTAGAAGAAAAGATTTAGCAGAACTTAATATCATCACAATCATATTTCTTTTCTTCATAAATCTGAAATAAAGGCTAGTCTTTATTTTGCATTTGGACAACTTTACAAATCTCATCTCCTCCTTATGTCTCATAAGGAGTTATATTATCCTCACATGGAATGGTCCTTCTTAGCTTCCATTTTGTTGTAAACTGAATGTAGAGGAGTCCATTCTACCAGAGCACACGAAATATAAAATTCAGTTCAATGAATAGGATAACTGTTCTGCTTTTCAAAGAATGATCATGGAGAATGATGGGAGTTGATGAGGGCCTGGGTGCGCTCACCCCTTCATATTTGCTTAAGGTTCTTTTGTATTCAGGATCATTCCATAACCTCTGTAAAAGAAACAGTATTTATACTGTCTTCATTTTAGAGGTGGCAGAATGATAATTCACACAGTTAACAATTATAAAGCCAGACATTAAAATAAGGCTTCTTGTCACCAAGTCCTGGGCCATACAGAAGATAATAAATAAAGTTACCAGATAGTGTGACATTATTCAACATAATTGTAGGAAGGATACAGAAATATCTTTTCTGCTTATATTATAACTGTATGGGTATAATAAGATAGTTATTTTAAGGAAAAAAAGAGGTGACTTGAAACTAAAGATATAGTTCAGTGGTAAAGCTTCTACCTAGAAACAAGGATGAGTGGTAATATAACAAGGATGAGTGATAATATGTACTCACAGTAATGTTGTGGTCAAAATATATCATATTATACCATAGAGTGTCTTACCCTGTAGCTGACATCCTCCAAGAGGGCAGATTCACCAACAGTGCAACCTGCTTGCCACAAAGTTTCCTTCATACTGCAACCATAAAGGAATACATTCTTCTTTTGGGAGTGACCATGGAAATCACAGAAGACCTACAATAAGCAACAGAAAGAAAAAATAAATCCAGGCTAGTGCACTGGTTCCTTATATGTTTACAATGTCAAAGTTGTCAGAAAGATGCTGTTTACTCAGCCATGTGGGATCCATGGTAACTCTGGAACAGCTGCATTGTAAAAGCTCTCAGAGAAGAAGGTAGATTGCAAGGATCTTATGGGGGAATAGAATGTGAAGAAATGCATGTCATCATTAGCTCTTCTGAAAAAAATTCCCTTATGACTTGGAGGACATAGAATCATAGCCAAGAAAGAAAATAGAAACAACAGCAGTTATAAAGAAATACAGAAAAAAAAACAGAAAAAAAAAAGAAATACAGATGAAGATTAGAAAACTGAAAAGTAAACAAAAAGCTATTTTAATAAGGGACTATATCAACTATATAAAGAATAATCATGATTCTTCTCCAAGTCCTGATGTCAAAAATTAATGATTGTTTTCAAAACTCAGTTTATTTTTTTTAATTCATGCAACAGATGATCTATGAGGCTACACTATATAACTTCACTCTAGGATTTAAGATGAGGGAGAAGCCCTAATTTGGTACATACTAGTTTGTATCAAATGGCAAATGATACTAAGGATAGACTCTTATTGTACCTGCTGAAGCTTTTCTGAAAACAAAGCAAATATCTATCTGCTCATATTTTTATTTTATTTTTTTATCTGCTCATATTAATTAAAGAAAGTCACATGTGCAGTAGCCTCACTGGTATGGAGGGGAAATACATTCTTTTTACATGTTTTCTTGGCAAGTCTCAAGAAAACTGTCAGTGACAAAAATATCCTGTAAAATATGTTAATAAGAAAAACAAATTATGAATTCAAAAAGAGGATACCAAATTCTCCTCATCCTCACATACAAGGACTTCCACAATTCCTGCGTTCTATTGGTGTCATGCAGTTGAATATGTTTTTTTACTGGCCACCAGTTGACATAGATAAATCTTAATCAAAAATCATTAACTTTAAAACATAGCCTTTGTTTAAGCTACCAAGCCTAGGGGTCATGTTATCTCAAAGAGTTAAGTGTTACAATAACTTGTTATTTGAATCAAAATGAACATTCTTTCTACCGTATGACAAGCAAAGCATACAAAGCTCCTTCCTTACAGAAGACGCATCAAGAATTCTACCCTGTAAGAGTGTCAGTCTTCATTATACTTTCTAGATTTCATATGAACATTCCCCCATCAAACAAAAGGAAGAAAGATAGGAAAATTCGTCTCCCTTGTTTGGATGCAGAAGTAAGATTTCCATAAAGCATTCAGATAGAAGCAGATGAATACAGTACACACAGTGAGTACTGTTCCATAAAAACCCAGAAGTGCTACTAGGGAGACTACACCCTGCAGGTCCAGCCAAGTGGTGGATTATACCCCAATACAACTAGCTCTCTACCCAGAGAGTTCCAATGTATTGATTTTGTTAATATCTAGTATTCTGGTCAAATTATGCTATACTTCTCCCTATGTTTCTTCACTTTTCTGTAAGAGGCATTTATTTTCCCATTAGCCTTATTGACTACAAAAGAAAATGTCATTACAGAATATAAAACTGTGGCCTTCAAAAGTCCAAGTTCCTATCCCTTTCCTGACACAGAAGTACTTAGAGTCAAAAATCATTGTGGTCTCCCATTGCAGACTCTATCAGTCAATTTACTGGAGAAGTACCAGGAAAAAAAGAACATGCAATGGTAAAGAAAATGTTTTTCTTAATTTAATTCTTGTAATATGTAAATGACATTCCAATGCACAGACTAATAATGTGGAGAATAGCTGTAGCATATGTGAAAGTAAATGTGACAGCACAATATCATAAAATACAAAAAAAATAAACTACCAGTATACTTGTATAAGGTTGGTAGAGTATACATGAGGTAACATATTAACTGAAGGTAGACTCTGATTCATTAAGATGACAGAATGGGGTGAACACTGAATTATTTCAAGGTGCCTAAATAAAAGTCAAAGATATATACTGTTCTCTCAAAAGTCTTTGCCATATCAAACAGAATTGAAATCTATACTAATACATGAAACAAATATAAAATATTAAGCACATGAAACAAATATAAAATATTAAGCACAATGGTCAATTTCAATTCCAAAACATACATAAAGTGAATCATTAAATGTTTACTAAAAGACAATGCCAGATTAGATAGATAAGTTTAACTCCATTGTCATAAATTAAAAGCCAAAGTGACACACACCTATAGTCTTAGCATTTAGTAGGTAGAGCCAAGAGAATCATCAGTACAGGACTATTTCTCAGCCATATAAAGAGTTCGAGGATAGACTTGGCTATTGTATAAGATCCTGTTCAAATAAACTAAAGTAAAACTGTAAAATGTGTATAGAGACAAACTGTAGACCAAGGAAATATAGAAGATCTACATTCATTTAGATATAGGAAATATTGAGTAAAGAATATTTGATGGCTTCTACATCTATGTTGCATTTAATGGGTAAGTCCATTTCTTTACTCCTCTATTTTGTGATTTCATATTCCATCCAAACCAAAGATCTACAACATCAATAGTGGCATCTGTTACATGCTAGACCTGGCCTTTATTGAGGAATGGCTTCATCGTTTAATAAAGATGTCATCTTCACTGGTGCATTGTTAGTAATTTAGTGAATATCTTCTATTATAGCCAGATGGTAGGCATAGATGTCACGAGATAGATGCAGTACAGGTTCTATCTCCCAAGCTTTCACTTCTTCCTGTGCTGAAGAAGATCAAGCATCACTCCCTAACTAAATATGAGTGATTACTGAGCAAAGATGTCATCCAAATAACTGATTAAGCCAGTGATTCTCAATCTGTTGCTCACAGCCTCACAGGGGTTACATATCAGATATTTACATGACAATTCATAACTGTAAACTTACAGTTATGAAGTAGCAACAAAATAATTTTATTGTTGGGGGTCACCATAGCATGAAGAACTGTATTAAAGGATTGCAGCATTAGGAAGGCTGAGAACCACTGGGTTATTCTTGTGAATCCATAACCAGTTATTCAAGCTAACGAAATAGCTATGGATTATGGACTTTTATCAGTGATATCAGCCCAAATATAACAGTATGGTCTGCCCTTATTAGTAATGCAGCCTAGGGCTGTATTCCTGCATGTATTTCCTGGGTTTCATAGGATTTTTTTTAACAAATCTTTATGATTCTTTTAGTTTATAAACTGTTTCCTTCTTGGACATAGTGTGTACTTATTTTCTATATTATGTTCATATTTCATCTGAGTTATCAGATTAGGGGGGGTACATGGAGAAGTTGTGAGGAACCTTTAAAAATGAGCATCTTCTTTCAAACCGTCTGACCTGACTGAGGTTACGTCTCAGTTTTTATGTCCCATTGACGGGTGAGATAGAGATGATGTTCTAGCCTATGTTACAGGACAATGGGTCTCAGATATCGACATGGAGGACTTGACAAAGCAGACATTGGAGCCCTGCTTCAGCAATTTTGAGATTCACATCAGTCTGTGTGAGGCTAAGGAATTTGTCTTTTTAATAAGCTCCCATGTGAGGCTGATGGTTCTAGTACCAAGATCATAGTCTAAAAAAAACCCTCTTTTCTAAAGGAGCCAACGAAACAAGTGCTTAAGGTCTAATCCTCTACTATCATGAACTTTCCACCAACCTTTATCTCTTACATCTTGGTTTTTCTGTGTGAATAAACATGCACCATTCTTATGAAAAGTGTGCAAACAAATTAAGTCTGTGTCTTAGCAACAGATTTCTCAATAAAGCCAGAAGGCAGCTCGGTGACAGGAGCTCCTTAAATGCTGGATTCAGATAGAGATAAAAGCTGTTATTTTTTTCCTTCCTGATCCTTACAGACTCTGAAAGCTGAGGTAAATGACAAATTATAGACCTGTTCACCTGTGGGAATGAACACGGCTAAGCCCTAGGATTCCATTGGCCCCCGAGGATTTGGAAGGAAAGAAATGGAGACATTGTTCTGCTTGCTGCACAAATGACATCCCTAAAAATAAATGACTGTTAATTATAAGAAACATGTGCTTCTTCAAATTGCAGGGGGCAATTACAAGGCAAATTATCAACTTATTTCAGTTGAGGAAAGGTTTTTCTTTTCTATTTGAAGATTTGATACTTTTGTTTTCTTCCAGTAAAATTATTTGTCAGAATAGTAGTCTCTGTGCCCAGTTTGGAGACCACAATACCCATAGTTCAATAAACAATCTTATCTCACTCATCAACGTATTCAACAAAAAAATATGCTTGCCTGCTATATGGCAGGAAAAAATTAAAATTTTTAATATAACTCAGTGTTGCCTTCCACAGCACCAATATAAATAGTTAATTTATCCAACACTTATGAGGCATCAGCTAGCATGTTAAGAAATTATACAAAATGGATGTTCTAGAACATTTAATTGCATAGTCATGTGCTAAAAATAAATGTTATTATGAAGTTATAACAATGCGTATCTCATGATGATTATAACAGTGAGTATCCTATGATGACACAGGCATTGTTGTCCCCATTTTATATAAGAGCACTGAATTTCAAATAAATAACTTGATTAAGTTTCAATTATTGAGAATGCGAGTAAATACTTAAATCCAATTTTGCCTTAATACACAAATACCATTTCTTTCTTTCTATGTTGATCCATCCAGAAACGATTTAGCGGGGATGATTCCAAAAGCTAACAAACATAGTAGCCAGAGGAAAAAGCTAAGGTAGGGATAAACTAAACTCTGCAAATCAAACTAACACCATATTTCTTACTTCCAGAGAGGAATGTTTTATATGTAATTCATGAGTGGCACCTCAGCAGGGGTGCATTATGGTGGTCCTGCAAGCCACAGGGATGTGTTACAACATCAGATGAGTCTTACCAAGTAAATGGAGAATGGGGACGAATGAACGAGGCCTTTGAGGAATTGCAAAAATTCAGAATAAATAGAATGTAATAAAGACTGAATTTT